TATGGAAAGTGAATTTGCTCTGTAAATTTTCACCCAAATCACAATTAAAAAAAAAAAAAAAGTAAGCCTGGAAAAAAGTCATTTGCCCAACCCATAGCTGTTTAGGTGCAGAGTCAAGGTTATAATCCAGGTCTCCTGACCCCATGTCTAGAGTTTCCAAATCATGTGTTTTAATGCCTTAGGCACTGTGCCACCAGAGCTCCTGCTCTGACAGGAATATACCACAAATGGGATGGCTTGAACAAATAGGAGTTTATTCTCTTACAATTTGGGAGGCTAGAAGTCTGAGTTCAAACTGCTGGGCTCTTGGGGCTGGGTGAAAGCCCCTAGCCTTGGACTTCAGCTCTGCCTTTGGCTCCTGGCCCACCGAAGCTAGAGGCTTTTCTTCACTCAAGCAGGTAAAAAGACAGTCCCGACATTAGCAAACCACATGGCAGGCGAAGTTCGTTGGAAGTCCCAAGATCAGCAGAGCATGGCATGCTACTGATTGAAGACCTGGCTACATGCAGGGTTCAAACGTGCCCAAAAGAGGCCTTCCTCAAAGCGAGTTCTTATACACTGGAAGCAGACCACATCCCTATAGCAGCTACTTAGCTGCTCCAGTAGACACCAGCATGGAATTGATTGCCAGTGTCACCATGGGGAATAACTACATCCAGCTGCCCAGCCAATCAACCAGGCCCAGCCAAGCTGACACACACCTTAACTACCACAGCATGGTTGTGCTAGCAGTGGAAGAGGTGGTGTTTTCAGTGGAAAGGGAAGTGTCTTAGGCATCCATCACAGTATCTGCCTATATACTTCTGTATGTCTCTTCAATACTCAAATATTTGCTAATGGGATAAATACATAGAAATAAAAATACTATTAAAGTCTAAAATGCAACAGATATGCAGATTTACAGTCTAAAACAGGTCACTGATTTAAAGGTATATTTTATTGGTCTTATGCTGAATTATATATATAATAATATAGTTACAGGAATAGAAGGTAGAATGAACTAGATATGTCAAAATACTTTCTTTTTCTAAAATCATTCTGAGAGTGGGCTGGCCTATCTATTTGGATATTGGTTTTTATGTTTAGAGTAATCTTAAATACACTTGCACACAATCAGAATTTTCCAAAAATATTTATATTTATGCTATTGGGGGGGATTAAAGATAGGTGAGATTTTTAATGCTTTTCCCTTTGAGAGGTAAAGTCCATTTTCCCTCGCCTTGAATCTGAGTTTGTTGTAACTGCTTTGACCAAGAGTTCAATGAAAGTGACAGCACTGAGCCTGTAGGAGGATGTCACTTTCCACACTGGCCTCCTGTTGTTCTGAGCTGCCATATAAGAAATCTGACTACTCTGAGATACCATGCTAAAAAGTGGTGTGGAAAGCAAAACAAGAATAGAGTAGGACCGGTGGGGAGGAAAAGGGAAACAAGGGGAAGAGAAAGGAAGAGAGCTGCTCAGCCAGCCCTCAGGTGTTCCAAACCTCGGCCAGGTGAGTCATCTCAGTCCAGCTAAGGCTCCCGACAGAGAGATGAAGTTCTCCGCTGAATCTTATTCCTTACCCTCAGAATTGTGAGATATAATAATAATAATAATTTTTTATTTTAAGCCACTAGGTTTTGGGGCAGTTTACTATGTATCAATAGATATCTGGAAAAGATGTTTAAAATATATATAATCAATTCTAACTTTAATTCATAAACGAATATAGATTACATACAATAAAAAAATGGAGTACACATGTGACATTTTAAGAATATGTGTGATAGGTTACTTGTGAAAAATTAAAATGATGTTAAGCAAACATATTTTAAATTTTTGAAGTTAGTTAATATCTTTAATATTAGGTGCATGGCTTTTAAAAAGATTAAAAAATTTAAATTTAAAGATTAAAAAATAAATTACTGATATTGCTTTAACAGTGGTGATTCATCCACTATGGTATAATTAGCAAGAATGACACACATAATTTAAGTTGCAGAAAAAACAATTCTGAGGAGGCTTCCTAGGTTTTATGGCTATACAAAAATTTGATGTCAATAGATTGAAAAGCAACAACAGCAAAAGGTCAGCTCTCTGTATCTTATCCTGATGTATTCTGGGACCCACACAAAAGCCTTGTGCTGATTTGTGGAAAAGTAACTCATTGGGCTGTTTCCATGAGACACAGGTTCTTGTTTTCAGAGTGCCTGAGCTGTTCACTCACTGTGCCAGAACAGCTAACTTCCCACAGTGTATACTTCAGTATCTCAGCAACTGAAGCACGGAAACGAACTTGGAACTTCTTGCTAATTAGGACATAAAGGATGGGGTTCAAGCAACTATTAAGGAATGCCAAACCAGTGGAGACGGGGATTCCAACCTGCAGCATCTGGGTGAAGTAGCTATTGTGGTGAATCGTGAGTTCCCAAATGCTAAACAGGTGATAAGGAGTCCAGCAAATTAAAAAGGCTATGACCACAGCCAGGACTGTCCAGAAATGCTTACTGGAGATCACAATGCTTAGCTTTTTCACCTGAAAGAGGAGACACGAGTAGCAAATGCTCATTGTTATCAAAGGGAAGAGGTACCCAACAATAAATTTCACCCAAGTCAGCACACGGTGCCTCATCAGTCTGAGGTCAGGATCATTCTCATGGAAATTGTTAAAGCAAACTGTGTGGTTATTGAACTCCACAGTGTCCCGGAAGTATAGGGCAGGGCCACCCATCAGAGAAGCCAAAAGCCACACTAATATGATAACAATCAGGGAGTTCTTCAGGGTTCGGTGTCGGTGAGACACGACAGGATGGATCAAGCGGACGTAGCGGTCTAGGCTGATCACTGTTAGGAAGAAAACACTGGCAAACATGTTCAGCTGAGCAATGAAGGAATTGGCCTTACACAACCAGATGCCAAAGGGCCAGTGGAAATTCAAGGCCACGTAGGAGATGTAGAGGGGCAGAAAGAGAACAAAGATGAAGTCTGCGATGGCCAGGTTGAGAAACCAGAGAGTGGCGACTGTCTTCTTCCACTTGAACGCCGTGAACCAAATGACAATGGCATTACCTGGAACACCCAGAACAAATGCTAAACAGTATAGCCCCACAGAGACCCAGTGAACAGCTCCCAAGTGGACTTTCTCCTCCAACTCTGACTCCGGAAGGTAATATTCCATGTCATAGGAGTAGTTCTCAAATTCTTCAAACGGTACTTCCTCTAGGTCGTCCATGATCTTGCTACGTGGCAAATGAGGAAATCTATAGAAGCAGATTTTAAAAAGAAGAACATTTTAAAAATAAGAATACAAGTCAGTGAGTGATAAGGAGCATGAGGATATCATTTTAGGAACTAGAAAGTGTATTTCTTGGAAGGACTTATGATTATACAACAGATCTTGATTACACATCCAAATCTTGATGGGCCTCAGTTTCCCTCTGATGATCATTCTTAAAGCTGTGAGAGCTCATTTTGGAAAGGTGCTCGATAATCACTAAATTGGAGTTCTGGTGGTTAAAGCACCAGCCACTCCAGAAGAAAGATGAGGCAATCTGCTTCCTTAAAGATTTACAGTTCTGGGAACACTATGGGCCAGTTCTGCTCTGTCCTAAGGGGTCACTATGAGTCAGAATTGACTTAATGCAATAGGTTGTTTGTTTTTAATCAATAAATGAAAATGATTAACTTTACAGGTGCAATTTCTCTGTTCATAATGCTTGGAGGGCTGACTAGAATCTAAAACCTGCTTTGTATTATATTTTATGGAGGGTGTAAAATAAAACAGTTTCTGTGCTTGAGGAGCATGTAATTGAGTGATGATAAATACTTACATAGTGATGACTTCAAAATCTATTTTTAGCCCTGATTTCTAGCCATCGAATTCCAAGCGGTCCAACTGCTTCCTGGACCTATCTACTTGAATATCACAGGCAATCTCTGGGGATTTGACCCACTATCTTGAACCCAAGGATGTTTTTACTCTATGTTTATAAACATGTTAATCAGAATTATATCATTAAGGATGGCTTTTCATCAGAAAGGTTATCTTTTCTGGTCTTTTTTTTTTTACCCCCTACCAAGTTTTGTTTTCCTGTGTTAAGAAGATTTGAATGTTCATTTTTTAGTCAAAACAAATTTTACTGGGTGAAATTTTGGCTTCATCAGTTTTGTGCTGTATTAATTATTGTTATGGGTCATATTTAAAATCAGGTAGAAAAAAGATAAATAGTTGTATTCCTTTGATGGTGCTATGTAACTAATGGTGCAAAGATATAAAATTTGAGGTTATAGTGGGTCAAAACATCCTGTGTTGCTCACAGGCATCTCAAATTCAACTAACACCAAATCCATCATCCTATTCAAATCACTGAGGAATCTGGCAGGGCATACATTAAAAAACAAAATCAGTTTATTAGCTTCCTCCCAACCCCAGACCCAGCCAATTTCTTTTTTTTCTTCATAATTCAGCAGGAATGCCATCTTTCCTTGAGAATATTTTCTGATATCACCTTCCCCCAGACAATAGTAATAATAATAAATAATAGCCAGTGTTATGGGTAATTTGTCATGTGCCAGGAATATATGATCTAATTTGATCTTCACAACAATCTTATAAAGTAGGTAAGTGCTATCATTATTGCCATTTTACAAGAAAGGATATAAAGCTCAGAGAACACACAACCTGTAAATGAAGAGTCAGGACATAAGGTCAAATCTGTGGGACCCAGAATCTGAGCTCTTAACCACTACAGCATTTCCCTCTTCTGTACATACTCTGTTATAGCACTTCAAATACTATATTGTCATTGTTTACTTTTTTAAAAAAATTTCTCCACTACTAGACTATGAACTTCTTGAAAAAAATGACAGCTACTTCTGTACCTCCAGCGCCTAGTACAATTCTTTTTTTGTTATTGTTGTTGTTGAGAATATACACAGCAAAGCATACACCAATCCAACCATTCCTACATGTACGATTCAGTGACAGTGCTTGCGTTCTTTGTGTACTGCACCCATTCTCACCCTCCTTTTCTGAGTTGTGCCTCCCCATTAATATAAACTCACTGCCCCTAAGGTTTCTATCTAATCTTTCGAGTAGCTGTTATCACTTTGATTCCATATAACCGAAAGCAAAACCAAACTCACTGCCATCGAGTCGATTCTACTCATAGCGACCCCTCCTTGGGTTTCCGAGGCAGTATCTCTATGAAAGTAGATTGCTCAACCTTCCTTCTGAGGAGTGGTTGGTGGGTTTGATCCACCAACCTTCTGGTTAGCAGTCAAATGCCTTAGACCAGAGCTCCTTTGATTCCATATAAGTAATTCTTAAAAGAGCATAATGCTTAAGAGACTTTTTTTTACTAGTTAAGCTAAACTATTGTTTGAAGAAAACGTCAGGGGTATTTTTGGTTTAACTTTTAAAAATTACCTCAGGGCAATAATTTCAGGGATTTATTTAGCTCCTTTCACTCTAGAAAGTCTGGAGTTCATGAGAATTTGAAATTCTGTTCTGCATTTTCCCTCTTTTGATCAGGAGTCTTCTATAGAATATTTAATCAAAATGTTTAGTAATAGTAGCTAGGGGACTATCCACTTCCTCTGGTCACATAGTGAAGGAGGAAATTGTTCACAGAGGCAATAACCCACACATTCCATATCCTCCTCCTATTCCTGACTCTCTTCCTCTGTTGCTCTAGGTGAATACGAGACCAATTGGTATGCCTTGGAGGGCCACTTGCAAGCTTTTAAGACCCAAGGCACTACACAACAAACTAGGAAATAGAACAGAAGCACAAAAATGTTATTAGGCCAATTAACTGGGATGGCCCATGAAAGCACAACCCTGAATCTCCAAATCAAGGAACCAAATCCCACAAGGTTTTTGGTTGTACATAAGCAGCCTCAGCAGTTACTTTTTGTTGTAAATATGTTGTTTTGGTTACCGAATGCTGCTCTGACAGGAATATACCACAAATGGGATGACTTTAACAAACGGGAGTTTATTCTCTTACAATTTTGGAGGCTAGAAGTCCGAATTCAAAATGCCAGGCTCTAGAGGCTGGATGAAAGCCCCTCGACCTTGGGTTTCAGCTCTGCCTCTTGCTCCCTGCTCACTTTAGCTGGAGGCTTTTCTTCACTCAGGCAGCTGCTGGGTGCTGAGACTGACAAGCCCAAGGTCAACAAACAAAATGGCATAGTCCTGATGTTAACAAACCACACAGCAGGCCATTGATTCAAGTCCATTAAAAGTCCCAAGATCAGCAGAGCATGGCAGGCTGCTGGATGAAGACTTGACTACACACACAGCTCAAGGGTGCCATAAGCTAGAGATCGTCTTCAAAGTTCCTTCTTATATACTGGAAACAGACCACATCCCTAAAGCAGCTATTCATCTGCTCCAATAGGTTCCACTATGGAGTCAATTACCAATCTCACCATGGTAAATAAGCACATCCAGCTGCCCAGCCACTCAACCAGGCCCAGCCAAGTTGACCCACAATCTAACTTTGCCAGTTCAACTTTTTACAGGTGTTTGTTGTTGTTGTTATGTGCCGTCGAGTCGGCCCTGACTCATAGCAACCCCTCCTTGGGTTTCCAAGGCAGTATCACTACGGAAGTAGGATTGCCCAACCTTCCTTCTGAGGAGTGGCTGGTGGGTTTGAACCGCCAGCCTCTGGTTAGCAGTCAAGTGCTTTAGCCACTATGCTACCAGGTGTACTCGACAACACAACTTTTTGACAGCAATTACAATAATCAGCTGTGCAACTCCACCCTCAATCAATGCAACTTTCCCATCTTCATTAACCCCCTTTCCTTTCTCCTTCTTGCCCCTGGTAACCACTAATATACTTTGTTCTCCATACATTTGTCTTTTCTTGTCTTTTTATAAAAATGAGGTCATACAATATTTGTCCTTTTGTAATTTGTTTCACTCAGCATAATGTCCCAGTACAACTCTTAACATATCACAGGTGCTTAACATATACTTAATAAATAATTGGCTCTGCTATTAATTTGTTCAAAACCAAATGTAATTTTAAAAGCCTGAAGTCAGAGCTGGGCACTCTGGTGGCTTAGTGCCTAAGCATTTGACTGCAAACTAGAAGGCTGGTGGTTCAAGCCCACCAGCTACTTCTTGGAAGGAAGACTGGGCAATCTACTTCTGTAGAAATACTGCCTTGGAAACCCACGGAGGGATTGCTGTGAGTCAGATCCACTCAACGGCAATGAGTTGTTGTTTTTTTAGGTCAGAGCTTATGAATTCATCTCTAAGTCAATGTTGCTGCCAGACTCTCTGTGACCTATATCTCTGGGATCTTGCTTTGTTTCTTGATACCAAGTCCTTCCCTTAGCATGTCCTATTCTAGCGAGCAAGAATTAACTTCTCTCGTACTGTCCTACTCTTTCAGGCCTGGGACATTCCCCTGTCCTCTGCACTCATGTTGTCTTATCCTCCTCAGTGTAAAATCCTTCCCATCCTAGTCTTAAACTCCTTGTCTTAGTTTTCTGCCTACATACTAGGACACCCTCACCTTCCTGGTGCCTATTACCCATTCTTTTAGGATAGGTGCACCTGATCCAAGCCATGGTATTTGCAATAGCCCCATATATATGTGAGAGCTGGACAATGAATAAGGAAGATTGCAGAAGAATTTATGCATTTGAATGGTAGCATTGGTCAAGAATATTGAATATACCATGGACTGCTAGGAGAATGAACAAATATATCTTGGAAGAAGTACAGCTAGAATGTTTCTTAGAAGCTAGAATGGCCAGACTTCGTCTCTTATACTTTGGTCATTGTTTTAGTTACTTTGTGCCATTCTAAGAGGAATACACCACAAACGGGATGGCTTTAACAGGAGTTCATTGTCTTACAGTTTGGAGGCTTTAACTCTGAGTTCAAAGTGCCAGGCTCTAAGGGCTGAGTGAAAGCCCCTCAACCTTGGGCTTCAGCTCTGCTTCTTGCTCCTAGCCCACTGGAGCTAGAGACATTTCTTCCTTTTGGCATCTGCTGACTACTGAGGCTGACAAACTCAAGGTTGACAAGCAAAATGGCACAGTCCCAAAATTATCAAACCACATGGCAGGCCTCTAATTCAAGTTCATTAACAGTCCCAAGATTGGCACACAGCACGGCAGGCTGCTGAGCAACGACTCGGCTACATGCAGGATCCAGGTGTGCCAAAAGCTGCAGAGAACTTTCTTAAAGCTTCTACTTATATACTAGAA